GGGGTTTGGCAAGATAGTTTGGCAAGTTGGGCAAGATACTAACCAGAAGCTGAATGTCAGATAAAAAGCACTTAGCCTAGAAACAAGTGTTTGTGTGAATGGGGCATGTTGAATACAGTGCTTTGAGTGCTCAGAGAGAGCAGAAAAGCGTTACATAAGAACCAGTCCATTTTCCAATGACATACAAGACAAAGTTTGTGAACTTGGTTTTCCCTATTTACATGAGTAAACGCTGACCAAACCTCTAAAGAAAAGAGACTGCTGCCTACCGAGCAGCGACCCATAGCTGGCCTTTCAAGCAACAGCTGGCAGTGAAAGCACCAAGCCTTTTAAGCTGCTAGTGATGAGGCTGCATCCCTCAGAGGAGGGATCCATCCTGTGTTAGTATGTAATGTAGATGCAATGCATCTAGCCGGGCTGCAGGCCCGACTACTTAACCCTGCTTACCGGCTCCGGGATGCCTGTGAGCTCCGTGTGAAGAGTGGCGCTGCGCCCCTGCGGACAGTAGCTCCCCTGGGTGTGCTGCTGCTGGTTCTCGGGGTAGCTACGACCTCCGTGGTGCGGCGCCCAGCTAGAGTTGCTCTGCTGCGGGTAGTTCACCCTCCGCCGCTGCGCTCATCAAGCCCCCGTTACCGATCGCGTTAGCGCCGCCGTTGCTTCCAACGCTGCCGTTCATGGCGAAATGAAAGAAGCCAGACCGAGACCGCGAACGAGTCCTCGGGGGTCCATGGCTAGAAAAGGACGACGGCGGTGGTGGATGTAATGTGACGTACGGCAGGTGCCTCGCTCTTTAGACCGCTTTTCCGTCTCTCTCTCTCTACCGCCCAGTTACCTCTGACGATCACCTGCTACTGCGAGTGTTTTCTGAGGCATTTAAAGCTATTGTTTTAATGAGATGAGACACCTGAAGGCAGCAGGTTCAGGGAAGCACAGCCCTCGTATGTGCACAAGCACATCTGCATCGACTCCATCCACTTCTCCTTTTTGCTATCGGTGCCGCTCAACTTAACGAAAACCGCTTATTATTTTCTTAAACCATAAGGATTCAAAATTAATACAGCTGCATACAGTACAACAAAATTATGTTTTAACTCTCCGTTATCGTCAGTGCTGTCCTCATTACTAGAACGGTTTAATCATTTCTGCGTCTCTTTTGTGTTTTCACAGTCAACAGTCAGGCTTTCCCCACATTAAATAAAAGTATTTTATAAGCACTGGTCGCACAGAATTAAGTCTTATATCAGTGAAACCATTGCCGAGACTTATGCTGAGGACAACTGAAAATAATAGCCAGCTCTGTGCCACCAAAAAGCCAGCTAAATAAACACTTCGATCCGACAACACAAAACATAAAGCAAGATGGCTAGCTGTAAAGCTTAGCGAACTAAAAACAAACACAAAAAACGGCCGCCCGTAGTTGCTTGCAAAATAAAGTTATTAGCATAAGTTTTTCAATAAATTAGAAGTAAACCACAGCGGCTTGCCTACAGTAACAGAAAAGTTACACCCCTCTGCGTTTGCTAACTATACCTACTCGTTCATTAGCATAAATTCGATTTTCCAGCTAGCCCAAGGCTAACAGGAAGCGGGGTCTAGAGGGGAAAACAAGTCCACAGTGCCGACATTACGAGCTAGCGAGCGTCGTTCCGTGTCAATGTCAGGCTGGTCGGTGAGCAAAGCTAAATAGCGAATATCCTATCTACATGAAAAAGCGAACAGCTACCTCGTCCGTGAACTGAGGTGGACAGTATATGTCTAATTTAAATCCCTCTCGCATTCGCTATCGAGTGTTTTCTCTGGTCAGCGGGGAGTGTAGTGGAGATCAATCAATGGGAGGTTCGCATCGCTGTCAAGTCATCATCAATCGATAGCAGAACGACATTTTGCTAAATTGCTTTCTACTTTTCATATAAAATTATACAAAGTCGCTAGAAAGGAAAAGTGAAAGTGACGAGAGCAAATATGTCTTATTAGCATGCGCCAAGGTCGACTTTAACTACTGGCTTGTTTTCGGAATTGACTATTTTGTCTGGCCAACCGCAGGCGTCAGCTCCGCTCATTAATTATTCAGCAGCTTCAAAGCAGAATACTATGAGACAGGCTTTGAGAGCTGCTGGCATCCCGGGCTTTTCAGCTGGATGTGCTCCACTACACGGATATCACCAATGCACTGCGTAAACCTAAGTCCGTTTATTCGGTTTCCACGCAGAAATATTTATTCTTGTGCTGTGATCACAATTATACAGTACTGTCCAAAGTCTTGAGTCATTATTCTTTATATTTTTCTAAGAATGAGAATAGGGCAGCAAACATACAGGGAATACAGTATATCAGGAAACGAGTTGTACAATGGTCATGAGATTGAAGTCATATATGTTATGGCCACCTATATTCTTCAACACAGCCTGATTATCTTAGGCAAGCTTTCCTGCAATTTCTGTAAGTCCTCAGGGAGAGTCTTCCAGGCTTCTTGAAGACAAAGATCTTATTTGGATATTGGCTGCCTTTTGTTCTGTTTTCTGTCAGACGATCCCACACCGTTTCAATAGTATTGAGATTCAGGCTTTGGGAGGTCAATCAAAGATAGCTTAACTGCTTTAACTGCATCGGCAGTGTGTTTGGAATTATCAATCATTCAGGCCTGTTTCCTCAAATATTGAAGGACTCACTGCACACCATACTGAGACATGCCAAGTCTTAGGCTAATAGCTTTTTGGGAATTACCTTGTTAGTGCAGAAATAGTATTTTATGCTTGTCAAACTGTTATCTTTGGCATTTTTCATAGATTTGGCTTTTTTTTTTTAAAGGAACAAATGATGTGCCTTTGTGACAGTCTGGTAGTAAGAAAAATACGTTACAATTCCATTTTAAATTGGTTTCTTGCTAGGGCCTCTGTTATTTGTAGATACAACACCGGTTCAGCCCTAGATTTAGGTGCCTTTTTGTGCTTAAATGATTCAATGTAAAAAACAATATTCCAATGTCCAAAGAAAAACTTTGAAAGACTTTTGCTCAAGGCTACTTTAAAACAATTACAGAAAAGTCTGGCACTTTAGAAGGAAAACAAAACGAAATGAGTGATTCAAGACTTCCACAGTTTCTCCTTTACAGTATACATGTAAGATAAGATAAGATAAGATAGAACTTTATTAATCCCTCGGGTGGGTTCCTCTGGGAAATTCGACTTCCCAAAAAAGCACAGCAACGACCGAAGTTACAGTTACAGAATTGTTATATATATATATATATACACACACACACACACACACACACACAACATATATAAATACAGAGACAAATATAAATAAAATATACAAAGGGGATAAATAGAATAAATAGGAATAAAAATAAATAAAATACAAGTGAATTGCACATTTCAAGTATTGAGTCTATTGCACTGTTGACTATTTACAAAAGTATTGCACAAGGTATTGTACAGTGAGGTGAAGAGGCACTACAGCTTAGTTGTTGCCCCCTCCTTTGTCCTCCTGTTTCCCCTCCCTCTCCCCTCCAGAGAGGAGGGGAAACAGTCTGATGGCGTGTGGGACAAAGGAGTTTTTAAGTCTGTTAGTTCTTGTCTTGGGGAGAAGCAACCTGTCACTGAACAGACTCTTCTGATTGTTTATGGCCGTGTGCAGAGGATGCCCAGCATTGTTCATAATGTCCAGCAGTTTCTTTAATGTCCTTTTCTCTGCCACTGTCACCAGAGTGTCCAGCTTCATGCCGACCACAGAGCTAGCCTTCCTGATCAGTTTCTCCAGCCTGGATGAGTCCCTCTTTGCTGTGCTGCTCCCCCAGCACACCACAGCATAGAAAAGTACTCCAGCAACTACCGACTGGTAAAACATCCTCAGGAGCTTCCTGCAGATGTTAAAAGACCTCAGCCTCCTGAGGAAGTACAGTCGGCTTTGGGCTTTTTTATACAGGTGCTCTGTGTTGCATGACCAGTCCAGTTTATTGTCCACCCACAGCCCGAGGTACTTGTACTTGTTGACCACCTCCACCTCCTCCCCCTCTATCTGAACCGGCAGTGGACCTTCTCTGGACCTCCGAAGTCCACAACCAGTTCCTTAGTCTTTGAGGTGTTGAGTTGCAGGTGGTTTGTGTGACTCCATGCGACAAAGTTCCTCACCAGACTTCTGTACTCCTCTTCCTGATCATCCCAGATACACCCCATGATGGCTGTGTCGTCTGCAAACTTCTGAATGTGGCATAATTCAGAGTTGTAGCAGAAGTCAGAGGTGTACAGGGTGAAGAGAAGAGGGTAGGTATGTCTGTGTAGGTTCTCAATCATCCAGGTCCTGGTAATCTAAGGAGATACACTCAGTTGTACATCTGCATCTAAAGGATAAAGGTCACTCTTTCAAGGACGTCAATGATCACATTTTGGACAGAGAAGACAGATAATTTGAAAGAGGAGTGAAAGAAGCCATCTATGTCCACTGTGAAGGACCATAAACAGAAGGGGTGGCTTACAACACCAACTGTCTGCCACCTACGATCCAGTTTTGAGATCCCTAACCCCTAAGGGAGAACTCCCACTAGGGCTTAAATACCTGGGATTCTCCACCATTTGGTCTTAGAAGTGAAAAGCTTCTCAGATGAGAGGTGAATGTCCAGTTGCTTTGGTTTCCAAGCTCCTTAGACTACAGTATTCATGCTTTTCTTTACAATATGCCACTTAAACATCTAGGCAGATTTCAAAATAATACAAAAAAATTAAATATTACTAGGAAGGCAACTACGGTACATTCACAAATATTACATCTGAATAAAATCTAATTTAATATAATCTAATAAAAACAAACATGTTCAAAACTGTGTAGGTGTAAAACACTTAAGTATTAAACTACAAAACTAAATATTAAGTACCAAAGTACATTCCTGTATAATTTTCAGTTTTCTGTACTGTCATTAAATGTTGATAAATAACACATCAAAAGATCACAGACAAAATGACTTCTTTGCAAACTTGTTACATTTATTAGCACCTAAAAATAAATGCATTAAAAAAAGATCAGCTATCATTTTTTTCTGTGGCGTACTCTTTGTTTTGGGGAAAGAAGATTTACACTCCTGATATCTATGTCAGCATGGGGATACAAATACCCACGTTTTACCCCTCCTCTTTTCTTCCACCTTTCTGCCTCTCTGCTCTTCTTGCTCTTTTTGCCACCTGTCTCATCCCTCCTTTTCTTCTGTGGAGGTGCAGTGGACTGTTTTTGCCTGTCATCGGGCCGACTAAAGGGGACTCTGGGATAGACTTCGTCATCAGAGCTACAGCGGGACTTTATCAGTAGTCCTCCTTCCCGCCTGGCCTGAGCTTCCCTCCTCAGACGCTTCACCTCTCGTCTCTCCTTGCGCCTCTCTTGCCACGTCTTCCACGTGCCAGCTCGGGTGTGCAGCTCCTTCTTTGTCTTTGTCCACCCTGGACTGATCGATTCTCCTCACCGCTCGTCCCTGTTTTTTCAGACCGGTCTGAGAAAACATGTGCAGGCTCTGAAAACACAGAAACACAAAAGACGTCCTTGACAAGTCTGATCCTGTTTTAACTGAATAACAGGTGATTAAAAGCAGCTGTTGAACTAATAAATCTTTTCGTTTATTTCCTGATCAAACGCGGTGTGAAAAGAACGCTTTATCAACCAACTGTGCAGTTCTTCTCAACTCTACAGAGATAATGTTTTTCAGTTCATTGTATTAGTTTTATGTTTTAATTCACTTAATTCACAGTGCTGGTTTCAGTCATTAAAAGGCAGCACTGATAAACCTACCAATCCCACCCAAGCAGTAATTGGTGCATTTAAATAGTGAAGGGCATACTTTGTTGCAGAGCTGTTAGAGATCAAGAAAATGTGTCCAATAACTAACATTTCAGACCCAGAGTTACACTAATCCAAAGAAAGCACCTTCACAGAATTCACATGTCAATCTATTCTCACCAAAATGAAGCACGCTGGTGCATTTTGAAAGTGTTCCCTCACCATTCAAAGAGCCAGCAAAAGCATAGATGCCCAATAACATCATTTGTCTTTTGATAAATCGTTTCATTTGAAATGTTTTTCTGGGCAGGATGTGATCTGCTTGCATTTTGTATCCCACTTCTGATTAAATACCCAAAGCCTTGTATCATTATCATGATTCTGCGATGCTTCTTGGGCAAGGTGAATAACAGTCTGGATAGAATCACAAAAAACTAAGTATGATTAAAGCAATCCCAAAGCAGAAAAATGGCTGGCATTTCCAATTCAAAACCAACAAACATTTAGGTCCACACATCTCTAGACAATGACATTTTTTAAATCATTTTTCCTCTGTACACCATCACTATGGATTTAAATCAAACAACTGAGGTATGACTGAAGTGCAGACTTTCAGCTTTAATTCAAGGGGTTTAATTAAAATATTGTCTGAACTGTTTAGGAATTACAGCTATTTTTATACATAGCCCTCCATTTTCAGAGGTATTTTCAGAATTAATTGGACAACTTACCTATAAATGCTTTGTGCTACCATGATACATCGAATATTCCTGTAAAGCTCACCTTTTCGTCTTCAAATCCGTTTTAATTTAGTCTCAAGCACAAATGGGAACACAGTCATTTAAAAAGTGCCTGTAAATAGGGCCGCTACCAGGTCAAAGGTAAATAAAACAGGTTAATCAGATAAACCATCTCCAGCTGACATCATTTGTATCTCGTGGTGATTCACTAGAAATCTCAAGGAGGAGGAGGAGGCTATCGTTAGACTGAAAAATCAAAATAAACCTATCAGAGAGATTGCAAGCACTTAAGAAGTGACCAAAATCTTTAAAGAATGTGGTCCATTCCTAAAAAGATGAATGCACTGGCCAGCAAAATGCATGATGACAGAATTATTTCCATGGTTAAGAAAAACTCCTTCACAACATCTGACAATGTGAACAACACTCAAAGAGGTAGGCGTATCATTATTAAAGTCTACAATCAAGAGACACCTTTATTAATGGAAATGCATAGGGCTCACAACAATGCGCAAACCACTGGTTACACTCAAGAACAGTAAGATCAGATTAGACCTTGTCAGAAAACATCTAAAACAGCCTGCGCAGCTCTGAAACAAAATCTTTGGACCAACAAAACCATGATGAACTTGAACCAGAGTGATGGGAAGACAAAAGTATGGGGAAGGAGCAAAACAGCTCATGATCCAAAGCATATCACATCACACAACACATATCTTCCTAACATGGTGGAGGCAATGTGACAGCATGTGTACATATGACTGCCAGTGGAACCAGATCACTGATGTTTATTGATGAGCTGACTGCTGATAGAAGCAGCGGGATGAATTCCTAAATGTAAAGGACTCAACTCTCTGCTCAGATTCAAACAAATGCTGCATAACTGATTAGACAGTGCTTCACAGTACATATGGATAATGACCCAAATTGTACTACAAAAACCCCCAAAAAACAAACAAAAGTCTTTCTGAAGGCAAAGAAATGGGATATTTCAATGGCCAAGTCAGTCACCTGATCTAAGCCTGACAGAGCATGCTTTTCAGTTACTGAAGCCAAAATAAAGGCACAGCCTGAACTGACAGCAGCTGCAATAAAGGTGTTGCAGAGCATCTCATGGAGGAAAACAGCATTTGGTGATGTCGGTGGGTAGTAGACTTCAGCAAGTCATTGAATGCAAAGGATTTCACTATATTTAAAATATTTAAAGTTAGTGCATCCAATGACTTTTGATCCCTGCAGTTATAAAACCAAAGTCTGCACTTCAACACATAATGATCTGATTGTTCGATTAAAAGTCAACTTGGGGGATGTACAGAAACATATGGACTTGACTGTATATATAAATGAACAACCCATTTCAGGAGATAATTTTGGTTATAATTCACGCTCAGTGTTCAGTTTACATCTGCTGTTTTCGAACTAACAGGCAGCTCCAATAAACTCACATGTACAGCCCAAACAAAGATACACCGATTGTAAAATAATAATGTAAAAACTCTGATATCAGCTTCATCACCTTTAACTCTTTCCTCTCGCCTGGTCCGAAGTTGGAGAATGTCTTCCCTGGTGTCATATTGGTAAACATAAGGCAATGATGGAAAAGTGCCCGTAACCATCCTCCTTTTAGTGCACTCCTGATACAGAAGACAGGCAGTGATACACATGAGACAAAAGAAGAAAAAATGAGTTGAAGGATGGATACAGGACAGTGGAAAATGGATGCAACTGAGACTTAAATAGAGAGAATTTAACTAAGTTTGATTCAACACAAAAAAAGAACAGGGGAGAAAAGAATTTGGTGTAGCGAGGTGAAGCAAAAAAAAAAACTAAACAAAAAAAGAGTAGCAAGTTTAGGGAAAAGACAAGTGAGAGACCAAACAGATTAGGCAATAGACATAAAGGCAGACAAAGATCGAGTAAAAGTAAGATGAGGATTAAATGTATTTATCACTTACATAACCGTAATGTCCTCTTTTAGAGCAGTTGTAACAATGAATGCAGCACTTCCTGTGATGGAGGCTGTGGCTTGCCTGTGGCCTGAGGGGAACCGCTACCCTAATCTGGAAGAAAAAGGTCAAATGAAGGACATTTCTACAGCGATAACAGACTTTCACTGATCTCTTGGCTATTTTAGCAGTACACACCTATCAACAGGCTCCTGATAATGGGTGTATTCTGGTCTGATCCCCAGCACGTGGGATCTTCATTGCATTTGATTCCCCTGATCTCTTTCCCCCATTTTCCATCTATTTTGTCCTGTGACTATCAATGAAAGGCAGCGAATACAGCTTTCAAAATTGCCTAATTAAACCGGTCCCCTGCCACCTAGTACCTAGATCAATTCTATTGCTTACTTTAGAGAAAAATCATTAAGAACTCCAATTAGGTTTACACATTGAGCCAGAAAGGCTTGTTATTATGCATTTTGCTGAGTAAAGAAGATTAGATTAAAAAAAAAAAAAAAAGAGCAGATAAAGAGCAGTCAAAACTCACTGTCAAGTGGTATTGTCTCCATGTATCAGGGCAAGCCTGAGGAAAATCCAGAAAACAGAGAAGAAATGTTTTCTTTAAGCAACAACGAGGAAGACAAAGAACTGTTTGCAAGAAATAAAACAACACTTCATAAATTGAGCCCACACAATCATGAGGTTACAGAATCTGTCAACAAACAACTGTCAAATGTTTTCAACGCTTCCTTCAGCACAATAACACACTCTGCAACACCAACACTCAAAGGGGCCAGACCTGCGAACTCACATCAGAAAGGTGCCCTGTCATCCCGCAGCGCAGGCAGTGCTGGTTCCATACTGGAGGCAGATCACATGGCTTGAGCCCGTGTGAAGGCAGTCCACATCTACCACAGGGGCGACTTGGACATTTCCTTTGGATGTGACCTTGGATCCCACAAAGGACACATATAGGATATTTCTGTCAACACAAAGACAAAAAAAACAACAAAAAAAAGATTTTTAAAATGGTCCTGTTGAGGAACCTCTGCAGGTGTCCATGGAAACAGCACTGATGAGTGAGTTCATTTACCTTGCGGAAGGAGCAGCTTTTGGCAAGGTGTCCTGTCCTGTTGCATGCACGACAGAACAGGGAACAACCAGGCGAGAAATAACGGCTGGTCAGAGACTGATCCGCGCCACTCTAGATAAGATGATCCAGGAATAATCCAAGACAACACAGAGATTTTTAAAATTAGGTTAAACCATAATTTTGTCTCCACACTGCAAAATCAAAGGTACAGAAGGCAAGGCAAGGCAAGGCAAGGCAAGTTTATTTGTATAGCACAATTCAACAACAAGGTGATTCAAAGTGCTTTACAGAGACATTAGAAACAAGAACAAATAAAAAGCATGATTTAAAATTGATTAAAACAAGCAAATAAACTAACTAATTAACAAACAAACAAACAAACAAACAAACAAACAAAACAGTATATAAAATCAAAACAGATAAAATCAGAACAGTAGATAAAATCAGTAGTTAAATGTAAGTTTTGAAATTTAAGCTTAAAGTGTGGATTTGGTGCTTTATTCAAATGCAGCTGAGAACAGGTGAGTCTTCAACCTGGATTTAAATAAATTGAGTGTTTCAGCTGATCTGAGGCTTTCTGGGAGTTTGTTCCAGATATAAGGAGCATAAAAGCTGAATGCAGCTTCTCCGTGTCTGGTTCTGACCCTGGGAACTGATAAAAGACCGGATCCAGATGACCTGAGGGATCTGGATGGTTCATACTGGGTCAGGAGGTCATTGATGTATTTTGGTCCTAAACCATTCAGAGCTTTATAGGCCAGCATCAGAACTTTAAAGTCTATCCTCTGACGGACAGGCAGCCAGTGTAAGGACCTCAGAGCTGGACTGATGTGGTCCACTTTTTTGGTCTTAGTGAGGACTCGAGCAGCAGAGTTCTGAATGAGCTGTAGTTGTCTGACTGATTTTTTAGGTAGACCTGTAAAGATGCTGTTACAGTAATCAAGCCTACTAAAGATGAATGCATGGACTAGTTTTTCCAGGTCCTGTTGAGACATCAGATCTTTTATCCTTGATATATTCTTGAGGTGATAGTAAGCTGACTTTGTTATTGTCTTAATGTGTTTTTCTAAGTTTAGGTCTGCATCCATCACTACACCCAAATTGCTCGCCTGGTTTGTGGTTTTTAGATGTATAGATTGAAGTTCTCTGGTGACCTGTAATCGTTTTTCTTTGGCGCCAAAGACTATTACCTCAGTTTTGTTTTTGTTTAGCTGGAGAAAATTGTGGCACAACCAGTCATTGATTTCCTCAATGCATTTACCAAGAGCCTGTACAGGGCCTCGGTCTCCTGGTGACATTGTGATATATATTTGTGTGTCATCTGCATAGCTGTGATAGTTTATTTTGTTGTTGTTTATAATCTGTGCCAGTGGGAGCATGTAGATGTTAAACAGAAGGGGTCCCAAGATGGAACCTTGGGGAACTCCACATGTGATACTTGTCTGCTCAGATGTGAAGTTACCTATTGATACAAAGTATTTCCTGTTTTCTACGTATGTTTTGAACCAGTTTAGTACAGTTCCTGAAAGACCTGTCCAGTTCTCCAGTCGTTTGAGTAATATGTTGTGGTCAACTGTATCAAATGCTGCACTGAGATCCAGTAAAACTAGGACTGACATTTTTCCACTGTCTGTATTCAGACATATGTCATTAAACACTTTGGTCAGAGCGGTTTCAGTGCTGTGGTTCTGTCTAAAACCTGACTGGAAGGCATCGTAGCAATTATTCTGTTTTAAGAAGTAACTGAGCTGTTGAGAAACTGCTTTTTCAATGAAAACGGGAGATTTGAGATCGGCCTGTAGTTGTTCATTTGTGTCTTGTCAAGATTGTCCTTTTTCAGTATAGGTTTGATTACAGCAGTTTTTAGTGATTCTGGAAACACACCTGATAATAAAGAAAAGTTGACGATCTGTAACAGGTCTGACTCTAAAGTCTTTGAGACCTTTTTGAAAAAACTTGTTGGCAGGACATCTAAACAGCAGGAGGAGGAGTTCAGTTGACCTAAGATGTCCTCCAGGTCTTTGCTGTTAATAGGTTGAAACTGTTTCATGGTGTTTAAACAGTTTTTTGGTGGACACAGTACATATCCTGGATCTGCTGTTGATGTACCAATTGCTTGTCTAATTTTTTGGATTTTTCAGTGAAGAATTTGGCAAAGTCATTGCAGGCCATGGTCGAATGAAGTTCAGCTGCCACTGACACAGGGGGTTTGTTAGCCTGTCAACTGTAGAAAATAAGACCCGAGCATTATGGCTGTTTTTAGTGATGATGTCAGAGAAGTAGGACCTCCTTGCATTCCTCAGTTGTAAATTATAATTGTGAAGTTTCTCTTTATACAGCGGGGAAATAAGTATTTGACACATCAGCATTTTTATCAGTAAGGGGATTTCCAAGTGGACCATTGACACAACATTTCCACCAGATGTTGCCATCAAGCCAAATATTGACGTCATACAAACAAATCAGAACATATAAGTATACAAGTTAAACCACAATAAATAAAGTGAAATGACACAGGGAATAAGTATTGAATACATGGAGATAACAAGGGGCAAAATGACATAGAAAGCCAGGAGATCACCTGAAATCTGTCAGTATTGATAGAGAAATCCTGTCCCCTATCAGTACTAATTGATATCAGCTGCTTTAGTCCTAATTGATGGCCTATAAAGGCTCCTCATTACCCAGAAGGCACACAGGAAAGACTTCATGATGGGTAAAAGCAAAGAACTCTCTCAAGATCTTCGTAATCTTATCGTTGAAAAGCATTTTGATGGGAATGGTTATAGGTGCATTTCCAGAATGCTGAATGTTCCTGTGAGCACTGTGGGGGCCATTATCCGGAAATGGAAAGTGCATCAGTTCACCATAAACCTGCCACGATCAGGTGCTCCACGCAAGATCCCTGTCCGAGGAGTCCAAAGAATAATCAGGAGGGTTCTCCAAGAGCCAAGAACCACTCGGACAGAACTTCAGGAAGACCTTGCATCAGCAGGTACTGTTGTTTCAAAGAAAACTATAAGCAATGCACTGAACCGCCATGGCATCCATGCACGCTCACCACGCAAGACTCCATTGCTGAACAAAAAGCATGTCAAGGCTCGGTTAAAATTTGCGCAACAGCATTTGGAGAAGCCTGTGGATTATTGGACGACTATAGTATGGTCAGATGAAAGCAAAATTGAACTTTTTGGCAGTCATTCTACACACCATGTTTGGAGAAGAAATGGCACTGCTCACCACCCCAAGAACACCATACCAACAGTCAAGTTTGGGGGTGGAAGCATCATGGTTTGGGGCTGCTTTCAGCAAGGGGTACTGGCAGACTTCATATTATTGAAGGCAGGATGAATGGAGAGATGTACCGGGACATTCTGGATAAAAATCTGCTGCCATCTACCAGGAAGCTAAAATGAAAGAGGGTGGACATTTCAGCAAGACAATGATCCCAAACACAAGGCCAAGGAAACAATGAAGTGGTTTCAAAGAAAGAAAATCAAGTTGCTTGAATGGCCCAGTCAATCACCTGACCTAAATCCCATAGAAAATCTATGGAGAGAACTGAAGATTAAAGTTCATAAAAGAGGCCCAAGGAACCTTCAAGATTTAAAGACCGTTTGTGTGGAAGAATGGGCCAGAATCACTCCTGAGCAATGCAGACGACTGGTCTATCCATACAAGAGGCGTCTAGAAGCTGTAATCACCAACAAAGGCTTTTCTACAAAGTATTGAATAAAGTGTGTTCAATACTTATTCCCTGTGTCATTTCACTTTATTTATTATGGTTTAACTTGTATACTTATATGTTCTGATTTGATTGTATGACTTCAATATTTGGCTTGATGGCAACATCTGGTGGAAATGTTGTGTCAATAGTCCACTTGGAAATCCCCTTACTGATAAAAATGCTGATGTGTCAAATACTTATTTTCCCCGCTGTAAATGTCATAATGAACCTGGAGGTTTGTTTTTCTCCATCTGCGCTCAGCTTTCCTACACTCTCTTTTTTCATTTTTCACCAGTGTGGAGTTTCTCCATGGAGACTTTTTCCTTTCAGAGATAACCTTCACCTTAATGGGAGCAATAGTGTCCATTACATTTAACATGTTAGCATTGAAGCTATTGACGAGCTCATTGACTGACCTCTGGACAGGTCAGGTGTTAATGGGAAACCTGGTTAAAATTGCACTACTGTGTTCAGTTATACACCGTTTTGTGATCACTGTTGTTGATATATTTGTGTGGGCTGAGATTTTACTTTCAAAGAAAACACAGTAATGATCAGACAGGCCCACATCAGACACAGTAACCTTTGAAATGCTCAGGCCTTTGGAGATCAGTAGGTCAAGAGTGTGTCCTCTATTATGTGTGGCCTCTGTTACATGCTGAGTCAGCCCAAAGTTGCCCAGAGTGTTACTCAGGTCTTTAGTCCCTTTGTCCTGAGGGTTGTCCACATGAATGTTAAAATCCCAGCAATAATTACACAGTCAAAATCAACACAGATCACAGACAGCAGTTCACTGAGGTCATTAAAAAAGTCTGTGCAGTATTTGGGAGGCCTGTAAACATTAAGAAACACAACTTTGGATGGGGCCTTCAGCTGTAAAGCCACATATTCAAAAGACTGAAAACTTCCAGGAGATAGCTGCTTAATTGAAATGATTCATTAAATAAGACAGCAACCCCTCCTCCTCTCCTGCTCGCCCTGACCTCACTGATAAAACTGTAGTTAGGAGGGGTCGTCTCGATGAGAACAGCTCCACTGTTACTTTGGTCCAACCAAGTTTCAGTTAAAAACATAAAATCAAGGCTGTGCTCAGTGATTAAATCATTAATTAAAAATGTTTTCCCAGCTAGAGATCTAATGTTAATAAAGCCAACTTAAGTGTTTTAGAGGTATTACTTGTCCCCTCGTGTTTGGGAGCAGTCTGTGGCACACAAGGTATGTTTACTATGTTTAAAGATCTTTAGAGTGCAGCTCTCTGTGTTTTGACCAGGCCACATGTCTCCTGTCACCTAAAAGTACAGAAATTTTAAAACCTTCTAGTAAACAGGGTCCCAGCTTCTCCTGGGAAAGTCATCACTGCCATAATCCTCACAGCCCGGACCCT